TAGGAGTTATAAACATCCACTCATATAATAATAAAATATTTATAATAAAAATAGAAAAATTTGTCTATTGGCTAATTATTCAGCTGATATTTATGAAAAGGAAAAAAATCCAATTTTTTGAAAATAGTATTTATATATATATATATAAGTAAAACCGCAAGCAACATGATGATACCACATATCTTCTATGCTTAGATTTTTTTTTAATTTAACTTATTCATAATTTTAATTTTTAAAAGCAAAATTGCGAGCAACATGATGATGCTACATGATATTCATACTATGATTTTTTTTTAATTTAACTTGTTCATAATTTTAACTTTTTAAATTGAAAATTATAAAACCACCCCAGCCTAGCCCAACTTTCCATTATATATATATATATATATTAATTACTTATATATATATATATATATAAGTAGAGCTCCAAGCAATAATATGGTGATGACATGTGTCACTTATAATTTTATTTGTTAAATGTAAATAAATACTCTTTCATTCAAAATTGTAAAACATTTTTTGATAAGGAGTTGGATGTTCAAAAATATAAGGAATTTTTGTCTTTTGAGAGTTACAATCATTGCCTTTTTTTCAAAAGTATCCATATTAAATAACTTTATATTTTTATAAATATTTAATATGGATAAATATGAAAAGATAGGGGTAGTTTAAAGTAAGTAACTACTTTATTGGGGGTGAGATTCGATTAAAAATGTCTTACATTTTTTAACGAAGGGAGTATAAAATATCCCACCTCCAAAAATATTTGTCGATTATTCCATCTTCTAATTAACTTATTTATAATTTCAAATTCTAATTTAAAATGTAAAAATAATTCAATAAGTAAATTGTGTATAATTAACCCACCTACAAACATCTCTATGTTATCCCAACTTCCAATCTCTTTTCATAATTTTAAATTTTAATTTTAAAAATCTTGTGAAATTACTCATCATGATTTCAAATTCTTATTTTAAAAATATTGCAAAATTATTTAAAATAAATAAATTCTAATTAAATTCCCTGCACTGGAAATTCTTTCCATCATCCTCACTTCCCGACTTTTTTATTTCTAATTTAGATTCTTGAAATCAGAAGCCAATGATTTTAATGAGGTTTTCATTTTTTTCCCCCAAACAAGTGATATGGGATAGTTATTCAAGCTTGATTAGGCAGTTGAAAAACTCTCCCCATTATCAAGGAGGTCTTTCAAAAATTTTAAAAATTACAAACATTATAACTTCCACATCCTTCAAAATCTCTCCGCCGCCATTGTAACCTCCCAACTTCTTATTTTCAAATTTTAATTTTAATTTTAAAAATCATGATAAAGTTTAAGCTTCCTAACTTCTAATCCTCAAAAAATTTTTTCCACTATGTTAATATCAATAACCCTACACATCGAGTGCCACATGGGACTTTTATTTTTCAGATCTTTTCATTTTAATTATTTTTTATATGTATTTTCTGCTGAACGTGGGTTGCGGGTGTAATCTGTGACTTCATAGTTGCTTCTTGCCAAAGAAGTATCATTTTTCCTCTAAAGTTGCCTCTTCTACGCATAAACCCACAAGATTGGCAGTTGCACCCATTTATCTTTTTTTTTTTTTTTCATGTCTATGCCTATTGGCAAGGAAGTTCAAGCTCATTGAGAATTGAAAGGGGAAAAGCATAGAATGAATCGCTTAAGAAGAGGTAACATGCCAAGTGGTAACTTTCAATTTTAGGCACTTCCAAAGTAACATGTTAGGAGGCACCTAATTTATGATTCAAAATTCCTTTGTTCTTGTGTATTATATATATCTATGGACATATATAAATATTTCATATAGGTCTTGACTGCGATTAGGAATTTCTGCTTATGTTCAAAACTTCGAAACATTATGGACTTAGTTTTTTATCTATTTTTTGTGCCTATTTGAAAGAATGCAAGCTCGTGAAGCTTTTTTTTTTTTTTTTTTTTTTTGTAGATGTTATATGTCTAGGTCAATCCAAGGTAACACATATGAGGCTCCAAGATGGTTTCTCCCACAACTTGTACCACCCATAAATTTGTTTAAGTAGAATTGGCATTATAATTTTTAACATTTTTTTTTCACTTCCATTTTCATCTTAATCATTTTTATCCCTTTACATTTATCTTGTCATTGTGTAGGTTTATAATGAGATATGGATAACTATTTTTTTTATATTTTTTAAAGATGACTATTTTTTTCTCTTTTAAATTTTACTATATTGAATTATATTTACTTCTCGTGCATTGCAAGATCACATTTGATCAATTGGGTACCTTTTGTTATACTCTTTCATTTATGTGCAATTGCAGTTGGGTTATGGAGTATATATATATGATTTTTACATATTGGGTGCAAGAAAATGATTTCGTCATTTCCTTTTACTATAACTATTGTAACTTGTAATTTGTAAATTTATTTTATTCCTACTTATTTGTGGATTATGTGCTTTCTTAACTTCACTTTTTAAAGATTTCATTTTCATTGAATCCAGAAGTTCCAAGTATCAGGAGTTCCCTTTGTTCCAAATGCTCTAAATGTTGTTAAATGTATCAAAATTTGTACGTTATATATTTATTTTTTTAAATTTATTTTAAACATTAGTAAGTTCAATCTAAAAGTTATTCCCCTTCATAACATTCTAATTTTTTTTATTAAATATCATTATTTATTTAAATAATATTTTATTCTTTTCGCATTACGTGCGGCCATGTACTAAAATTATAAAACCACCCTACCCCACCTTCAACTTTCCAGTAACAACCACAATTATAGCCTTCATTTGTTTTCAAAATTTTTTATAAAAATAATAATTACAATATATTCAAAGCTAATCAAGCCACTTCTCCTTATCTCTTATTTCTCTCTCTCCTTTATGTCCATTTATCTATAATCTTTTCTTTTTTAAATAATATATCTATAATCCTTTCTCTTACCATCCCTTCCATTATCATAACTTCTACATTAACATTCATCCCTTTATAATATATATTTTATTGCAATATCTCTAAAATTTATGAAAACTACTTTTCCTTATTCCTTGTTTTTCTCTCCTGTTATATTAATTCCTTTATTTTATTTTATCTGCAATATTCTTTTCCATGATCTCTTCCTATTATAACTTCCTATCCTTAAATTTTAAATTTTAAATTTTAATTTTCAAATCTTAACAACCTTCACATTATCAAATGTAACTTCCTATCCATTTATATTAAATTTTAAAAATCTTAAAAACCTTCATGAATCAAAACTTCTCTACTTACAATATTGTCTGCATATATTTCTCTACTCATTGCCCCTTGAATCCCATGCCTTTGGATTTCTCATCCTTCTTTGGAGCATTCAATATTATGTAAGCAAAAAGTGTCCATCGGCATCAAAGTCTAGTATTTGAAGTCGTTGTCTCTTTCTCAATTTCCTTCCTTCTCAAGCCATCTATTCCCATTTTTCATTTTCCAAAATTTTAGTTTGTATAATTGAATGCTACTAAAGAGTATATTCAGCATGGTTTTCAAATTCCAATGCACCAACTCTAAGCTATTCTTATAGTTCCTTCGTTGAACTCTAGTCTAAAATGTTTTGATATGTTTTTAGAGTTAGATAACATTTATGCAATTATATTTATCATTTTCAATGTGATGCCATGTCAACATAATTTTGCCTACACAGTTGATTGTTGAAGATGTTGAAGTTGAGTTTGTTTCAAAAGGGCAAAGTTAGGTGAAGGTTTATAGGAAGAATTTTAATTGATGTTATTGGGGGAGGCAGGTGATGAACCTTTCTACACTAATTACTTCTCATACTCAAATATTACCTTTGTTTTAAAAAAATTCTATATAATTATATAGAATATTTATAAAAGTTATAACACTTTGCAATTTCAATGTGCCATATCATGTTTTTTATTATATTTTCTTAAATATTATAATATTAAAATCATAGTTCCTTATATTGTTTTTGCAATTATTAGACCCCACTTGTTCCAATATTTTATTTTTCTCACTCATGCTATCTTTAAAGTGATTTATTAATTTGTCATAATTCATACTATTTCCTCGTTCATCTCCCATTATCTCACCCACCCTACCATTATTATAACTTCCCATCATACTATTCTTATTTTTAATTTTAAAAACTAAGGGATCATGACATAAGATAAATAATATATGATAGGAAAAAAATGATAAATAATCTATTATCTGTTATGAAAAATAGTGTAATAACATTTTAAATCCAAATTGTGCTTTAGTGGAGAAAATTGTGATACATAATCTTTACCTCAAATCTAATTTATGAAATTAATTTTAATTCTTAATTCTAATTTAACTGTGCAATGTGTATATATTATTATAATTTAAATATTTTTAATAAAAATTATTTAGTTATTAAATTCATTCCATAGGATGTTACATGGAGGATTTTAAATAATTATCATATTTAGTCCATCATTACAAATTAAAAACACCAATTATTTTAATTTAAAATTTATTTTTTTACAATAATGTAATTTCATAATTTAACTTATATCTTAATATTTATTTAAGTTACTGCTTATCATTTCACACCCGTGCATCGCAAAGGACACTACTAATTATATTAAATTAAGAGACCAAAAGCATAATTTGACCATTGGTTCTTAATATTTTTTTATGGCAATACATTTACGCACCCTTTCGATCGCAACCTTGTCGTTGTCATGCGCACAATATGCAACAAGCCGTTTCTATTTTTACTTTTCACAAAAATTTTGACAAAACCAAGCCTTCGAATTTTTCCCCCTTTTAAAAAGATACGTGATTTTATTATATCAAACACAATGGGAAACAAAATGGGAAAAACATGTGCTTCAAAGCTAATGAAACAACTGCATCTTATTTTCACCCTTAAATGAGATCATAAAGCGATAGATTAAATTACAACTAACCAAAAAATATATAGCAGAACAAGCAATGCAACATTAATTACAAGCATTACAAGAAAGAAGAATTAATGTTTCAGTAAATCTTTCATGTTTTTATAGAAGGCAACAAAACCAAAAATAATGAAAACAACAATGCCAACAACTGTGCCAATGCTTCTCCAAAGATTTCGAAAGTATACCAACCTTAATGCCGCACAGTTATTGTTAAAAGGGTTGTGGTAGTATTCATCCATTTTCTTTGAGAGAGAGGCATAGCAAGAGGAATTTATAACAATATTTTTGCAAAGAGTAGTGATCAAGCTTGCCAATTTTTCATCACTTCCCATTTCATGTTCAATCACTTCATCCTCAACCAATACATTCACATCTTGTTCATTGTGAATGAGATAGGCAATCAGGGCAACATAGTTGCAAACATAATGGTGGTTTGGATAGTAGCATTGCTCGAAGGCCATGAGATTGCGTATAATAGATTCTGTTGAGCCATCTACAACAAGTTTTGGGATTTGCATCCGAGCCCTAAGACATCTTGAGCAACAAAGAAACCAACTTAGGCAATTTGTAACTGCATTTTTTTCAAACCTAATATCAAGTAAGCACCTCTCTGAAACTGACTCAAAAGTTATCCCTGCCTTTCTTAATCTTGTTGCAGTCTTTATAATAGGAGCAAGATCATCGTCACGGCACAAATCTTGAGGAACGAAAAGATGTCTAATCAAATCTGTGAAATGATTTGGCTTTTCCCATCCTTGCTTTAACATATTGCCTTTGTTAATGTCAGTTATAGACTTATGAGGAAATGGATCGTATCTCTTAAAGTAGTTGCGCGAAAGCTCCATAAAACTTGAATGTCCTTCACTTGTATTCCAAGGTATAAGATGGTACAAGTCATCCAAGACAAAATATGGAATCTGGTTTTCAATTAGTAGCAAATCTCGCTCAATGGTCTTTTTAATCCTTGTTCTGGTAAACAAGGGATCATCATGGAATTCATGTCCTTTTTGTTTTCGTAGAAAGAGCTCTGTGATGAAGATGGCATCAAATAATATCATCCGCACAAACTCTGCCTTGTCCATAGGGAATGTATCTGAATAATAACTTCGTATTTCATCTTCCTTTAAGTAAATCATGGCCAAATAGATCTCTAAGTAATGTTGCACTTGACCCTCTGATGATCGACGTTGAAGGAAATATTTAAGATACTTGGATTTTTCCCCTTCCATTGGCTTCAATTTTTCTTTGTCATGATGGATTGGGCCAATTGAAATCAAAGAAGGAGTATAGGCATCCTCAGATCCACTTCTAAGATCTTCAGGAACTTTAAAGATAGAAGCTTGCTTTGGAGATGGCTCAACGTCAACTCTTACGTTGTTGATGTGTTGCATTATTTCATTGGCAATTTTATTGACATCCAATGCCATTGAATCCTTTTGGAAAAAGAAAAAAACCATTGAATGCTTTTGCAATATTTTAATATCTTCATAGTTACATATGTCATTGATTTTCTTGTAAAACACTTGTTATACTGGTTATTAATTAAGACCAACCAATATAGAAGGCATACTTTTCACATTCGTTCTTAAAGAAACCGGTGCAAAAAAATAATTAATTTCATTAGAAAAATAATTTTGAATTACTTTTAATTTCTACACCAATTATAAATGCAGCTGATATGGAAAATAATTGTATATTTTAAAAATAAATTCCAATTACCTTTCTACATAAACACCAGTTTCGTATAAAACCAGCGTTGAAACTAATAAACAAATTTTTCTTTTTTAAAAAAATATACATAAGTCTAACTGATGTAAATTATAAAAATGCTACTAGCCATACTTTCTAACCATTTTTCTTGTAACTGATATAAAAAGGAATTTTTTGTATTATGACATTGATATGGAAACAATTCAAAACTTGGATAGATACGCATCAGATTGGTCTAATAGAACTATGAATACCAAGGTACCATTAAGTTCATTAATTTCATATCGACTAGTTTTCTATTAGCAAAAATAAGCAAGCAAAACTAATTCATGATAGAAATCAAAGGGGATACCTTTACTAAACATGATATTCAATGGCTAGCAGATCAAAAAGTACAACCTTAGAAGCAAAATTATATTAGGATTGAAATCAATGTGATGGAAGCAATGCTAGTGGGATTTTCAACAATGAATCCCCCATTAGCCAGAATTCTACTTCTGTATGTACATGAATGTGTTAATAAATGTTAAAACTGAAGAAACAACAAGGAGACTAAAGATCTACATTTGCGGAATTGAAAATTGACAAATTATTTGTTTAAACAAGTATGAATTCAATAAAATTTAGATTTAAAATCTCTCTTTATATAAAACTTCAAATTTAAAATCTATATATTTAAAATATTTAGTTTGATTTTGTTATCTACACCAATAAGAATGAGTTCTCTTACTTGTATGACTTGTCTACATGTTTAGATACTAGTGAAACATGATGATTGAAATTTAAAATAACTAGGATCGATTTATATTTGAAATTTTAAAGGAATTGTAATAAAAATTTGATTGATCCAAATCCATATAATTTTATGCATCCAAATTAAATAACAGATTTTTTTAAAATCCAAATCCCCGTACTAATCCAAACATTATAATGTATTGTTGCTTATGAGAAGATATAAAAATAAAATCGTCAAAAGAATACTCATGCATTGCAAGACGAACATGTAACTCTCATTTTCTGAGCAAGGATAAAATAATGCATTATTCCTTTTTTCTTTTCCACTATCTGGACGAACATGCAAGTCTCATTTTCTTAGCAAGGATAAAATCATGCATTATTCCTTTCTTCTTTTCCACTATCTGGTTTATCTATACCTCTTTCCACTGGTTTGACTTAAAAGTGCAAAGTGCTATTCCTTGTTCTGTCAACTGCATTCACCACGTACCGTTTTAGTTGCTGATTCTTGTTATAATTAAACTACTGCTTCAAATGTCTAAGTTTCTAAAGTTACGGCCTTATAATCTATCCTTACTATGTCATTATAATAATTAAAATTTAGCCTTTTGGACGAAAAAGCCAGCTTTTTCAATAATCAGAAGCTACCCAAAACGCCTATCTCGATTCTTTTAGTAAAAATACAACTTGTCAGCATTTCTGAACAATAAAAACGTCATTGAGACCAACAGCATCAACATATTCCAAACATAAGTCAAGCACATACATTATTCGATTAGAATGAGATAAAGAACATTGAACAGAAACAAAAGAAACTTACGGAGACTGCAAGGTGCTTTGATCCCTGAAATCTGCAAACGTCGAAACAAATGTGCTTGTATTGATTTGGTAGATTTCGACTTCACGACCACCTTCATCTCCTCACTTCTCTTCCCCTTCAAGACTATAATAAATTGAGTTCAATCATGAATTTTTTAAATTAATTATTACACTTCCCAATACCCCCGATGACTTTCAAATTTTTTATTCCAGACTAGGTTGTACATGGAAAATCGCCAATCCAGATTGGCTGTTTTTGAGATCAGTTGCCATTATATATCTAGGATGAAACAAATGACTTGTCGGTTTGAGGGTATCATAAATATTATCTTATTCTCTTCATCGCACAATGATTTGTCTTTCTCAAGGTAATTATTAGCTCACAAGTCCAGTTCTGAGTTGTAGGGAAAATTAAAAATTAAAGACCATTATAGTCAATTAATTATATTTGTGTGGCCAAAAAAACTTAATTATATTTAGGAATGGTTAATTGTTAAAATTACAAAAAGGGACAAATGGTTTTTCCATACAAAATAATTGGACGAAAATGCCCTTGCACGGAAGCTTGGATATAAATATTGAAAACTCAGTTGCAAATCTTGGAAGCTTAATTATAAATTAATTTTAAATTACTGAAGTATTGTAAATTTTGAAAGATCAAATATAAATCTTGAAGGTTTGGCTGTATACATTGGAGTTGAAACATTAAGGAATATGTTGTAGATTATACCACGAAATATAAAGGAATTGTCATTAATGAAATGGAATAAAGTGGAGTGAAATGGAGTGAAAGAGAATGAAACATTTCATTATTTGTGAGTTTTATTAGATGAATAAATGATTTTATTTAATCATCATTTAAGAGTAATTATAAAATTAATTGATTTAAATTCGATATAATTATGCTTTTAAGTTTAGGGTGAGGGGAGTGAAAGAGTGAGAGGGGGTGAGAAAGATGAGGGTAATTATGTAATAATATTATTTATATCATGTCATTCCATTCCCAATCTTCCAAATTGGGGGTTCGAAACAAAAAATGAGTTTAGGATGATTAAGGATATATGGCCTGAAAAGTTTCAAGCCACTCAAGCCATTCCACTGCCTCTGGAAAGAAATTTCCCAAATGATGGCATAGAACTTCTAACCATCCCACTCCATTCCATCTCATAAAACTTCTAACCACCTCAAGCTATTCCATTCCCTTGTAAAATACAAAATTAATCTACCACTGATGTTCCATAAATTACAAATAATTTGTAACTAGTTTTTCAATATTTACAACCAAGTTTCTGAGATTAACTTATCTTGTATAGGATTTATAAAACTTTAATAATTTTCAACTGATCATTTGCAGATGAGCTATGGGGTGCAACTAAGCCCGGATTTGCAATTGAGCTACTTTGCCAAGTAGCAAGAGCAATTTGCTCCATCTATTTTCTTTAAAAAAAATAATTCTACCAAGTTGCATCAATGTTTCCTACCTAATTTGAGTCACTTTCAGACCACTCCACCTTCCCCTCCCCCTTTTCTACAGTTAGGACCTAAAATTTAGGAACATTGTGATTGTCACGCACTCAAAATAAAGCATGACCGACATGAAATATAGAAACAAAACTCATATTCCAAAAGCATTAAGTTAAGAAATCATAAATTTTGAACCATAAATATATCTAACAACAAATCAAACTATTTTCAATATGAATAATAAAAACAAAAAAAATTATTTTTTATTTTTTAAAATTTCAACAAGACCTTTCTCAAAATAAGACTTCAAGATTTCTACAACAATATTTTTTCTTTTAGTAACAAATAGCATTCACATCTAACAAACAAATCAAGCATAATACACATATAAGGGCTTTAACTATAGTTATGTGGAGCTCCTAGAATAAAATTTACAAAACAAAAATTCATATTTAAATTTTTACATCAAGAGGAGGGTGGTCATTAACTTCTTCACTTCAAGTCAAAGGATGGACCTCTATGATCAACTGAAAATCTAAAGCCATCCACATTATCTAAAACAAAAATAGTTTTTCAATAAATAACATCCCAATAATAGAATTTAAATGAATAAAATAAACTTGAGCAATTACGTAAAATAATTGGAAAGTGAATAAATCAATAAAATCTACTAATTTAATCTTGAAAATCATAAGTCATAACCATAAAGTGAGAATGAACTAACATTACTTTGTTCCTTCACGATTAAGGAAACAAGTAATTTACATTTAAATATAAGTGGTACATTCTATTAATTGAAATGATTGAAATTTTAGATAATCATTTAAAATTCAAAATTTTGAGGACTTAACAAAATAGGTAACAAATGTGGGCATACAGTTCATGAGGGTAAAATAACCAAATGCGACTTAAGCCACGAAGATAAAAGTGGACATATAGTTCATGAGGGTAAGTAATCAAATGCAGCTTGAACTATAAAACAAACGTGGACGCACAGTTTATAAGGGTAATACTGTAACCTCTTTCTATATCCACTCAATACAAAAGAAGATTACAGGAATTACCACATCACACATCAATCACAAATCAAAATCTGTATTTAAAAAGCTTGAGCCCAAAACTCATTTTACAAAATCATTCAAACCATAATACAATCAAAAAAACTACACAGTGGAAGTAATTCTCACATTACTCTAATACGTTGTAGACATAACCCACCAGCATTTCTATTTCAATTACATGCATTTTCATCACAAAAATAAGTTGGGATTTGGCCCGTGTGCCACGGTGTGCAATATGTGCGCCGCAACATGTGGCACAGAGCCATACGCTCAACCTGTTCTGTGTCATATGCCATGGCATGTGTTACCATACACCGCAGTGCGCCTGTCAGATTTTTTGCTGTCAGTTTGACAACAAAAATGATGAACTTCCGATGTACGCCATTTTCACATACAATATCCAATTGGAGTGATTCAAATGCCTACATGAAGCTTAGATTATAATCTAGCTAATGAGATAGGTTTGTACACGATCTAACGGTTTGGTAAGAATTTGAACACCGTGGTGCAAAAAGTCACTCTTTTTGAAAAATTTGCACACCCAAGCACTCAAATCGATCATTTTCTCTTGAATCAAGTCCAAAGGACCTAACACACCTGATTGAACACAATCTATCTCAATCATACACATATATCAAAATTTGACCTTTCTATAGCCAAAATCCCACATTTCACAACTTTGCACAAAATGCCATTTCTTGGCATAACTTAGCCCACTTGGCTATTTCTAGTTACATTTTTATACATTCATGTTCACAGTACAATCTTAGTCTTAAATTACTCATTTCATCATAGTTTCTCACATAAGCTTAAGATTTACCAACACAAACAACCAATTCAATCACAAACATTCAAATCATAGCCCCTTATTTCAAGTCAACACATATACACACAATTAGGCTAGTTTTCACAAAATATCTATTCAATTCATGTATGCAACTCCATAGCAACTTATTTACACACACACACACACAAGAATTCTTAGTTCATTACACAAACTCTGAAGTCACACGACTTCTACAACTTAAGCTGATCCAAACTCTCTTCCTTTACCCTGCTCATTGAATGGTCCTATAAACATGTAACTACAAGAATGAGATAAAAATCTCAGTAATAGAATAACTCACTCCTGTTGACTATCACATGCAACAATATGGAAATAAAAGCTTATTAAACCATTCAAATCTCATTAAAATAACATTTATATCACATATCTCATTTTCATTTCTTTTCACATAACACATATCATCTTATCACATCTCTAGCATCATATAACATGATATAGCATGATCACTACTGACCAAACCTTCAAATCACCCCAACACAAAACTATAGGTTCACCTTAGACCAATGTGCACTCTCATTGGCCTTAAACTCACCTGCAGTGGTAGAATCATCCAGCCAAAGATGTTCTCCCAATACACAATGAGGCATCGTTGACCCCAACACCATATTACAAAGACACTAAAGAGTCACTCATCTTCAATATCACCCCTTAATAGGCATTAAGGAGATCTTCTCTAACACCGCACCTTACAAGGCACTAAGGAGAATTATTTCCAACATCGTACCCTATTGGGTACTAGGAAAACATTGCCATATGATCTTTGTCATCTCCTCCACTTAGGTGAACTCCCACCCCTATGATCATGCTTTTTAAACTATTTAAAGTTGACATTTACCATTTTACTCATTTCTTAAACATAGCATATATATATATATATATATAAAATAAAATCTATTTGAAATCAAACATTTCAATGCTTTATTTTAACCAAAAACTATTTCACAAAACAATCACACAATGATATAAAATATGTTTAGTTTAAAACCCCTTCATGCACTACATAGTATACTAACATACAGTTACAACAAACAGTCAAACAAAGGAAGTTATTTCATTACCTCATCCCTTCTATCAGTAAAAAGGTTACCCATAGATTTCAACTACCACAATAGCTTATTTCAAGCTCTATTTCTCTACTCACACATCCAATATGTCAGTTCGAACACATTTAGCACATTTTAGTCATTTGGTCCATTTTGATCAAAAACTCATTTTTACTACTTAAAGTTATATTCATCCATAAACTCTTTTCCATTTATCCATTCTAGGTCCATTACCCCAACCAATCTCATTTCATAAAAATTAGATGTTTGCCCTAACTTCTCTCTCTAGATCCAAAATTAAGCCTGCGGGTTTAAAGCTTTACCGTTCAACTTTAAACTAGTCGTAAAGCTCTAATTTAACTTTTGAGAACCTTTTTATTATTATTGAAAAAGAATCAAACCCCTCAAATTTCACCAATTCAATTTCCCTATAACTCATTTTTAAAAAAATTTGTGTAGAATGGAAAGTAAGAATTATGCATAAATTACCTGACAAGTTATCAATTAGAAGCATCTTCCACCGCTCTAAAATAGCTTGCCCTAGCACACTCTTTACTTTCTCTCCTCTCTTTTCGTGTGTTTCAGATTTTACCTCTCTAAAATTTCTTCAATTTCACGACTTATGAAGGCAATTTTTGGTCCATGAGCCACGTTGCATGCAGCACAAGCCATGGCACGTGGCACAGTGAGATTTATTCTCACCACACACACTTGCTTCGACCTAAAACACACTTCTATCACCCGTATCTATTGATACAACGTACTAACAAGTCAATTCACCAAGTAATCATCTGAATCTCTAATCCCACACTAATTACCATTTTTCCTCGATTAACCACTAATCATAGTGTTGCACTTGAAAATGCAACGCGGACGATGCGAGAGCGGAGGTTTCGGCCTTCGGAAGGGAGACTGGAGAAATGGGAGTCGCCACCAAGATTTTGAGGGAAATCTCGGGAAACCATTTAAAGGTGGATAAGGGTGGTCTATGAAAACAGAAATTAGGTTCGGGAGTTAGTTGAGTGTGGGGAAGGTGTTAGGCATCCCACAACACCCGTTCGTGAGAACAGTTACCTAAAGTTTGTTGTGCGATATTAATATGGTTTTAAAATTATTTTAATTATTCCTTTTATATTCATGTGTTTTGATATAAAAATGATAACAATTAAGCGAGAAATATTTATATATTTATGAGGGAGGACTTGACTCAGAATCTGACTCTGAAGCTTATGTACCCTGCGGTGGGGATCAAAGTCCACGTAGTTCGGGCTAATAAGTTTGTTGGTGAAAATATTTTTTTGAAAAGAAATTAATCAGAAATAATTCACCGTTTTGCAAATAAAATAATTTTCTGAAATTTTGATACTTGTATTTTAAATTGCAAAACGTGATTTAATTTCAATTATTTTCTCAATTTTTTGATTTTTTGGAATAAAGAAAAAAAAGGATTTAAAATTATTTTTTATATTTTATGATTGAGAATTTAATCGCAGTTCCTGTAGAGCCTTATTGGCTCATACGATACTGCAATCATTTTGAATATCTGCGGAGATTTCAAAATCTCTCACAATAAAAGAATTAAATTTATTTATATGTTAGTAATAATTTATTCAAGCATGCATATATATGTTTTTAGAGAATTTTAATCATCATACTTGTAAAATCTTATTGGCTTATACGGCAATATGATTGCCCTAAATATCTGCGGAGATTCCAAAATCTCACACGATAAAGGAATTTAATTAATTTAATATATTATTTATATATGTATTTTAAAAAACTTAATTGTTATATCCGCAGAATCTTATTGAATCATACGATAATACGATTATCTTAGAAGTCTATGGAGATTCAAAAATCTCTCATGACTAAAAGATATAATTGGTAAATATGATTATAATTTAAATACATTAATTTGATTAATTATTTTTTCTAAATTATGTATTATATCATTATTTTTAAAAATCATTTATTTATTATAAAAATTGAGAGTCACTATACCTATGAGGACTTATTATCCCACACGATAATGTGATTGATTTAAGTCTCTACGGAGATTTTTAAAACCTCACATGAGACTTAAATAAATTATTAATTTGGATTATAAAAGGAGAGTTAATTTTTAATACATATGTTTTGCTCTCATATCTGCGAAATCTTATTGATTTACACGATATGAGATCATTTTAAATGCCTGCAAAAATTTTTTTAAAATTTCTCATGACAAATAAGTAACAAACAAATATATACTCTCTTATTTTTATTGGATTATAAAATTCAAAATACCTAAAAATGAAACTCCCTGACATAATGCACATGCAAAATGGATAAAGAAAGTAGAGAATCATGTTGAAATATTATGAATGGATAAAAGGCTTCGCTTGGTATAAGGATCAAAGACAAGTCACCACTTATCTACATGTCCTTTCATGCTAAAACATATTTTAAAATCCAATTCTAAAACCCAGCCTAACAATCACAACAATTTTCCTTCCCTGTTTGAGACAAGATTGTGGCAAGAATATATTCAAAAATTAGTTCTAACAAATTATGGTCACAAACACAAAATATTATTGTAAGTCCTTTTTTTTTTTCCTTTCAAAACTACTATCACATCAACTTCTTTACCGACCTTGGTCAAAACATGATAGGAATATACCAAAAATCAATTTGAACTAACCAGTATAGCAGGTAATATCTTGATCTGGAATCTCTTTGCAATTTCTGCACAATGCCAAATCGTTCAACATCGATGAAGCCCCAGATTCTAACGAATGGTTGAACTGAACCAGCCTCCATCATTCGTGTGTCACCCCCCTTCTCCCTCATTCGTGCCTTCTTCCTCGGTCTCGGTCTCTGTTCAGACTTCCTAACAATGTCTGAAGCAAAGTGACAGGTCCTCCCTCCGTTTTCGTTCGGTTTGAGTGGTGCCACTGTGTTTTGTTTTTTTTCTTCTATTTCTGCCACTGCTCTCTCTCCCATCGACCTCTCTTGTTTCTCCAATTTATTCTCCATCTCCCTCTCCTTCATTCTAACTCTCTCAGTCCCTTTTTCTACGTGCAAACTCTCCTCCTTTCTCTACCTGTGTGCGTGCGGTCTCCATACTCTGTTTTTCTTCCTTTTTTTTTGTTCATCCTCGCTCCTCCTCTCTTCTCTCTGCTACCGAAAGGATCTCAGGATGCTGTCCCTTTATCTATTTTCTCTGCCTCCGCGAGTCTATGACTTCAGATCCTCCCTGTGGCTTCCTTTGCTCTACTCAATCCTCCTTCGTGACTGGCGTAGATAAGAGTATATATATTTTTTTGTCTGCTGTGTTCGTCTTTTTTCCTCTTCTCTCTCATTCGTTCATCTCCTTCCAAACACAAGCGGGGAAGAGCTTTCTCTTTTCAGAGCTTGCGTGTGGTCTTCTCTCATTTCCCCTCTGCGTGTGGCCGAACGTGTTTCCTTTTGCTATCTTTTTCTCTCTTTTTCTCTTCTTTTCCACTGCCATCTGCATGCGTGCGTCTCCACCTCTATTTCCTTTGCTTCTTCGTACGTGAGTCTGCTGCCAAGTGAAGCTTTTTTTTTTTTTGTTTCTATTCTGCTCTCTGCTTCTGCATCTCTGGCCGAAAGTTCAGGTCTGTTCTGTTGTTACGTCTGTTCTGTGTTTTTCATCTGCAAGTCTGCTCTCCCTCTCTCAATTTTGCTCTTCTTTTTTACTATAACGTGCATGTCTCTCTCCTATTTTTCATGTGCTTTTGTGTATCTTCTGCTCTTGTGTGGCTTTGCTTTTTCTATGTGTTTCGTGTGTGTTGTTTCTGCTCCTTTTTCTTTGCGTGTGTCTAGCAGTCTACTTCTTTTCTCATTTCCTCTCTTCAGCTCATGCAACATGCATGTTCTGCTCTTTTTTTTCTTTTTTTTTTTATTTATTAACTTCAAAAATTAGATTAAGGGGACAAAAAAAAAGAAAAAAAAAAGAAGAAAACTAATTTTGAGTTAAACTAGAATATTTTTCTCTCTTTTTTTTTTGAAAAATAACAAGATTAAAAAGAAAGAAAATTAACTCTCAAAAGTTAACTCTCCAATATTTTTGAATGATTGGAATAATTTAGAGAGAGATTTTAAATGATTTAAACAAGATTTTTTTTGTTAAAATATAATCCTAAAAAGGATTAAATTTTATTTTTTGTATTTTTATATTTTTTTGGTTATTTATTTTTATTTTTGTTAAATTTAGAAAAAGCCTGGACAAAATACAGTGTTCACACATAGGATTAAGAAATTTAGGATGTTACAAATACTAACCAAATGCGACACCAAAGTCACAAAAACAAATGTGAGTATGAGACCTATGAATAACAAACGTGAGAACAGAGTTCAAAAAAATCAAACTAGCTAGTTATTTACTAAAGCATACCAAGGGCTAACGGAACTGTTGTTAGCAACAGTATTCTATTTATAGTCCTCTTAGAAATACATTTTCAAACATGTGAGGAAATAGTCATTTCTAAAATAAAATTTTTATTTTCAATACTAAACTCGTATGAATTATTCCAAGCATCAATTCAATACTTATCAAAATAAATGTCCTTTCTTGCATTTATTTAGTAACCAAAATTTTCAAAACTAATCAAAGTAATTTCATCAATCTCAAGAATATAATTCATAAGGAAAATACATGTCCTTGTCATAATTCTAAGAGTTGCAGTAATTTAATTAATAAAAGTAATCAGTACCAGAAAATATATTAATAACTATAAATTGTTACAAGTAATATTTAAAATAAATTTTCAAATATATTAATTAATTGAGATGTTATTCACTTACCTGTAGAGCTTCCAACTGTATAACTTACTTCCAAACAAATCTTCTAAGAACAATGCTTTGTCCTTAAGTTCCTATTATTCAAGTAATATCATTGTCACTTTCTCAAACATGCTTTACTATCCAAACTCTTTAATCCAAAACAACTTAGATAAATAAAAGAAAGAAGACCTTCACTTTTATCTTTCTTAATATGGCATCAGACATCCTAAAATATTCCAAATGTATATCCAAATAGCAATTTGGTTGTTGAATTACCAACTCAAATATATCTGCCAAAAACCTTTCAATTCTAACTTAACTTTCATTGCAAAGTTTAACTTTCATTGCAAAGAACAAATGTCTTTCAAGATTATTTAATCAACAGTAATATAATTATCACATATATTTTGCCACTTTAAATACGAAATTCCTCTTTTCAAACAATTTATCAAATACCCTTCAGTTTAAACAATATTTAGACCATAAGATCAAGTTTTTTTTTAATTCCCTTACTAAAAGTTGTCCTCAATCATTATTTGAAATGACCAAGCTTCCAATTATCAAAGAAAAGTGCCTTCCAAAAATTTTCTAAACAACAACAATTAAATTATTACACATATTTAGTCATCATAGGCCAACTCCTCCTAACAGCCATTTCATTGAATATCTTACAAACATTTAGTCTTAACTAATACCAAGCTTCAATTCCTCCATTCATCCCAACAATTGTTCTCAAAATTCTCCAATATCCATATTTGAATTAGTCTAGTTTTCCCAATTTCAATCATATACAAATTCAAATTAAACTCAAATAAAATTCAAGTCCACACTTCTTCATCTTACTCAAAAGACCAATATGTCAACTTGCTTGAACTTCTCTCTCCCCATTCGAACATACAAAGCAGCAAGGCTAGGGGAAAAAAACCACAATCTCCGTCATTAAACGCACACACACAAACAGAACATACAAGGAAAAAGGGAGAGGTTAGCCGCACCTGAAGAAAGTTAAGATGATGAATAAGAGACCCAATGGTAGAGGCAAGAGAAGAACAACGGTGGTGCAAGGGAAGAGCGACAGTCTCAATCTGAACCTCTTACAACAACGAGCTAACTTCCATAGTAAAACATTGAGGAACCCAGAGCAAGCTAGTGATAGAGGAGGGAGAACAATGAGCTAAGGAAAGAAAAGAGAAAATCAACAGCATAAAGGCAAGAAGAACTCACGATTTGAGTGATGAACGGAGCTCCCGTATTTACCTACAGCAGCAGCAATCTACAAAGAGGAGGAAGAGGGTAACAGATTTTCTCTTACTCTCCCCCAGTTCAGACATGAGCCAGCTTGAGAAAGGAAGGAGGTTGCTGGCGTCAGTCGCAAAGGGGGATGAAGAGGAAGACTCCTGCACTCACAGTCATCAATGACAGGACAGAAAGGAAGGTAGAGGTTGAACGAAGAATGAAGAGCAAATTTCTCTCCCTCCCCATCCTGGAGAAGTCGAGAAAATGGAGATCAGGAGCAGACAAAAAAAAAATGTGTCGTTATATTTTTTTTGTTTATTTATTTATTTAAAGGGCATTATAGTAATTTTAATCAAAGCTGAAGCAAAATAAAATCTCTTTGTTTGGACCAAGATGATTCAAATTGAAGATATGATAGTAACTTGGGGGCACACATACCACCACTAGAGCACCGTTTCCTCTCTCTCCCATGCTATTTGTACCAAAATTAATAAAATACAATCATAATATTTTAATATAAATTTATTTTACATTAATTTTTTTAAGTTATTACATTGATATGATCATGATATGCAAACTCAGACTAGACCGATCGATAAACTAGCAAACCAATCTACTGGCCGATCCGGTTAAGAAAGAGAATCGGGATTCAAGCAACCCAATTTAACCCGGATAACCCGTTAAGTTAATTGAGTCACTGGGTTGCTAAGGAAAAAAAAAAAAGCTAACCAGAAGGAATCAAAAGAAAAGAAAGGGAAGATATCACGACAACATATAAGAAAAGAAATGCTAAAGAGGGAAAGAAGAGGAAACAATGAAGTAAATTTCATATCTTTTTCATCGGCTGAAAGTCGCTTGGGTCCCCGGTAGCTTGTTGGCATGGAGAAATTTTTTCAACCTCATTTGTTCGACATAGCACCTGAGAAAGACAAAGCAATAGATTGAAAAGAGCACAAAATGCCTCTCTTATGAAAGGGGAACATGAAGTTTCATAAATATGAGAAACGGGCGACAGAAAAAATAAAGATGAGGATGATTCAAATTGTGATTTTTTTTTCCAAAATACTCCACAGACATCAATGGGAATCAGCTACTCCCCCTTATTCACTGACTCACAGCTTTTGAAGTTTTACTAGAACCTGTTGCCCACTTTTTGACTTTTCGGTTTCAATTATAATAACAATAAAAAAGTGTCTAAAGCTTTTCAAATATAACATTTAAAATATATTATTATCAATACCCCATCTCTTAATTTGGTGAGCACGGTAATTAAAATTAAAATATTTTTCTATTTTCAAATCTTAATCATTTTTTGATCTTATAGGTCTCTTTTTTATTTTTTAATAGTATTTTTTTAAAAAAAATTGAAACTTATTTTTATTTCATCTTGTATATTTTATACATTTCATCATATAAAACATTATATTTTACAAAATAGCATTTTTTATATAATATTTGGAGGATTAGTATTTTTTATTTAAATATTTTTAGTCAAATAAAAATATTTTTGCATATTTTAATTAAATTTTATTATTTTAATAATGACTGTTTTAAACCCTAGTTGAGCCACTAACTCTTAAATCACCACTTCAACCGGTTCAATAATCGACCTGATTTTCAATACCTTGGATATTAGGAGGTTATAAAGTAGTTCCTATTAATTAATCTCTGATTTAATGGTACTGTTGAGTTGTTTTGAGGTTTTTAAGGTTTTTAATTAGTTTATTTTGTTGATGGGAGGATTTGATATGGATTAGAGAAAAATAAGTAAGTGGACATAAACTATCATTTAGGAGTCCAAGTTGTAAAAGAATTTCCCATGAATCACGGGGTAGACAAAGAAAAATTATATTTACTTGGGAAAAAAAATCTAATGTAGCTTCTAGACATTTTATAATAGGGTAAAATAAAATACATGACCTTTCCATTTTATTAAAGTTATGGAAACTTTTTCTTTATTTTTAAAACTCACACTTTAATCCCATCTTTAATAGTATTAGGAATATTTCATTAAATATTTTAAGATACTTAATTTTCTATTTGCAGTTATGTTTAAAATTTTAAAATTTTTAATTTGGCCCCATGATCTAATTGTCTAGTCCCCTCACAATTTAAAAAATAAATAAATAATTAAGCATGTTAATATTTAAATAAATAATTTAAAAATTTTAGGTTAAATTTGATAAAATTTAAAGAAATATAAACATAATTATGTCAAGTAATTTATTATATTAATTCTTATTTCATAAATTTTAAACTACGTGGTTGAATATTATTTAAGCCTATTTAATAAAAAATTTTAAAATATAAATAAAAAATTTAAAAAATATATGCATTGATTTTTTTGAATAATTTAAACGGTTTTTAGACAGTGTGTATATATATATTTAAAGAGGGATGTTTTAATTAAACATATATAGCTTAACAGTCAAGTAATGACTGGGTAAATGAAAATAAAAGTTTAAATATAAAAAGGATGTTTGTGCTTTGTAACTTTTCATACTGAAGAAGGTTCGCATAAGTTTTAAAAAATATATGAGAGGTATCTATGATTAAGGTTTAAAAAAAAAAAGAGGGGAAACAATATTTTACTCTTTATAAAAAATAACGAGTATTTAATTAAAAACATTGATATTACGCACGGGCTCTTGACTAAAATATTTTTCTAAATTTTATTTTTAATTTTTTTGTAGACTCTTTTAAAATAGATTTTCATCTTCAAATTTTTGTCATTTTTCTCTTTTTCCTATTCACACGTTATTTATGTCATTAAAATTTACAATCACATTTCAATAAAATACATACACATTATTTAATCAAAACCCTAAAGTTTCAATAACTAAAATCGTTAATTAGGGCTAAACCCATCAAGCCAGCCTTTTGAGGCTAGAACTGGCTTTTTAGACTCTTTTTATGCTTTTTTAATATTTTTAATATTAAAAAATTAAATACTATGCTAATTCTAAGACCTTAATCTCATTTCATAAGGATGAAGAAGGAATATATGAAAAGTTTAATATCTTTGTTATTGATGAGGTTTTACAAGGAGAAGAATAAAATGATATTGATGTTGATGATAATAAAAATTATCAACATTTAATAGATAATGCTAGTAAAGTCTGATTGTTATCGTTGTCAATTTTGTGGTGTTTTTTTTTAATTAGACTTAAAATTGTTGTCGTGTATATTGACTCAAATTTGCTTTTCTAGATTTAAGGTTATGTGTGATAATTTTTTTGAGATTTGAAATATGTGTTTTCAAAAAAGTTTAATTTGAAAAATAAAAAAAAAATATAGGGTTGAGACCCTAAGAGCTACAGTTGAGTTGACCAAAATAAAACCTTATAATATAATCAAGCCTAACAAAACTAACCCATTTATACCCTAACCCTAACCCTAGTCTATGCATCCCACGAGGTAGATAATTTATTAGGGGGAAAAAAAGTATAATGACTCCTTAAATTTTGAGAATCATGTTAATAGCCCGTTTATTAAAAATTTAAAAAATTTATTTTTAAATAATTAGAGATTTTATGAAAAAATTATTTTATAAAAATTTTATAAAAAAGTAATATTATTTTATATTCGATTAAAATAATAAAAAGTGATTGTTAATTAATTCTTTTTTATTTCTACTTTATAAAATAATTTTGTAATTTAATTATTTTAAAAGTTCATCATATTTTCATGTACCTCATCTTTTTAAAGTATTCTCTCTTATCTAAGTATTAAATTATTTTTAGAAGTTATTCAAAATAACTTTTTAAAATAATAAAAAAAATATTTTTTTCAAGATTCTAATTATGTTTAAAAATTTAAACAAATCTCATTAAAACTCACAAATTTTTTTTTCAAAAAAGTAAATGATTTTTTTCATAAAATAAACTCAAACAAATGAGCGCTAAATTTTTTAATATCAAAATTTGGATATCAATCAATATATAATATAAAATATATAAAGCAGTAAACAAACATCTCGTGACTTGCATTACCAAAGATAAGCCATTAAACCTTTTGCAAAAATAAACTGAGTACAGCAACACATATAAAGAACAAGAAAAAATCAGCACTATTTTTCTCTCCCTTACTGCAAGTAGTATTGCTTCCACTGTAACACCCCATTTTTTGCTTGATCCCTGCACCACGATTTTCAAGAACAAATGTGGAATTTGTGAAGCCATTACTGAACAAAATGCACCAAAAGAATGATCCTTTATGAACTCCAACCATGCCTACTCCAACCTCAGCATGTGACTTATTTCTCAGCAGAGTCAGAGATTTCTTGTCTTTAACAAGAACATTGGAGAAAGCTAATCGTGGCTCTACGTACTTCCTTTGGCAGCCTACGATTTGCCCAGTTATGGTACCGAAAGTTGGGAGCTCTACACCACAATTCGGAGCGAATACTTCGGTGAAGTCATCTTCTGATGGCCTGCAATTCACCACATTGTTCTCTGTGCAGTTCCCTTTGCATAGTTCTACGTACTGTAAGGCCATGCAGCCGAGACCGGGACTGTCATTTAGGCGTGGTAGCTCGTAAGCTGTTCGGTTCTCGTTGATGATGCTGACAAGATCATTTGCTGGGTTTCCTACAGGACAGAGATCATAGATAACAAGGCTGTTTCAGCTTTCACATATGGCATGAATCATATGCATACTTGAGGGGACATTTGGTTTCTCAGAATCTTTCATTCCTGAGAATGTTATTTCCTAGAATATGAAATTTTCGAGGTTGGTATATCACAATATTCTTGAGAATATTTTGCTACATTCAATATTCTAAAGGGAAAAATGATATTTAAAGACTTTTTAAGAACATTAATTATTTTTAAGGACCCTAAAATTGCAAAAGTTTGTAAAAAGACCATGGCCTTTAGTTGGGGTCAAACTTTTTCTGATTGAATTTTTTCAATATTCATCTTCTATATTTTCAGTACACATCTTCCACATTTTCAATATTCATTTTTTGCATTTTCTGTATTCAGTATTTTTTCAGAAGTCACCGTAGAGGATTTCAAAACTCATCTTGCATTGTTTCAATATTGAAAAGAATTGAAGATATGTGTTTTTCAGTACTAAAAACATGGAAGATGAGTATTAAAAACATCTTAGATAACTAATAAAAAATAGAAAAATTGAGTACTGAAAAAGTTAAAGATGGGTATTGAAAATGTAGAAGATGAACACTGAAAATATGGAAGACGAGTACTAAAAAAATTACTCCAATTAAGGACTATAGTCCTTTTTAGATTCAAAATTT